GGGCTCTCCTCCGTGGTTCACCCGGGTTTTGGGCTCTGCTCTGCGTTTCACCCGGGTTTTGGGCTCTGCTCTGCGTTTCACCCGGGTTTTGGGCTCTCCTCCGCGTTTCACCCGGGTTTGGGGCTCTCCTCCGCGTCTCACCTGGGTTTGGGGCTCTCCTCCGCGTCTCACCCGGGTTTTGGGCCATGCAAAGACCACCAGAACCGGGTGCCGCTGGTGACCTGAGGCCAGGCCTGAGCTTGGCTTTCCGCAGAGGAACGTGGCCAGCGGGGCTGCTCGCAGGGAAGGCTCCCGCGCTGCTGCCCACCGCGCGCGCTGAAAACACTTAGTCACCGTGAGACCTCGCGGGGACAGGGTCATCATAAAAACATGAAAGGGAAGAGCCGAGGTGGCGTTTATAAAGTCAAAACAAAAGGGTGTGTATGTATGTGCGTGTGTGTGTACATATTTATTATTCCAGTTTCTTAGTGGCCTTATGTGTTCAAACCCATACATCCTTAATGCACAGCTGTTTGGGTTAAGAAATTGGTAAACAGTGTTCTCTCGTTTGCAATTAAAAACTGTGAATCACAACGAAAATGCTATATGAACATCTAAGGTAGATAATTAAAGTATAATTAAGTTTAAATGCCTTGGTGAAGGAATATAAAAATATTTAAATTCAACAGGCTAGTACATTTGCAGTTTTCTTTTATTAGGTGTGAAATCTAAGAATCCCCTGCCAACTCTTGAGGGCTCAATCCAGAACGTTGAACTGAAGTACTGCAGCACATCATTGGTCAAATGTGCCTCTGGGACCGTGGGATCAATAAAAATTTGTGCCAAAGCCCCAGGTATGTGCAGCTGGACCATGTAAAACTTTATTGCCTGTATAGGAGAATTGGCCTTGCTTTTTACAAGGAGAGTTACTGAAACAAGAATTTACTCATTGTTCCTATGAATCAGAGAGGTTTTTTTGTATTCTGTGTTTTTTTTTTTAATATTATTATTGAGTGTGCCAGGATGATCCAGTCTGGCCCCAGTATAGTCAATTTTGACACTGAATAGAAAACAAAACTGTTGGTTTTCCTGCAGAGACAAAAATTAATCCAAAATCACTGAATGGACCAGAATAAAACTACATTTTCATATTACATGGGATATTTGCATTTTACTTTATTTGCAATATGGTTTTGATATAATCTTAATTTTTTAATGTCTCATTTTTCATTGAGGTGTCAAGTACTCTTTTTATTTGTGAAATCTTTGAGGCTCTGTGATGTATTGTTTTTTAAATTTCCTTACTAGAATGTTGTTGGAAAAGTATACGATAACTTCTCCGATCAGTGTATGTGATCTTTATGTTTAAAACAGCTATTGCTAAGAACATGTAAAATGTAGTATATTTAAGTCTAAACTGAGTTCATGGTGATTTTTAAGGTTATTATTTTATGAAGCTGAGATAGAAAATGTTGTTTTAATTAGAATTGTTTACTTGTTTGTAACTTTGTTTTATATCCTCTTGAATATAAAGACAATTAAAGATAACTTTAAGGAAGCCGTTTAATAGTTTATAAATGCTTGCTCATTCCGTTTCCTCTTTTAATTCTGTACTTTTGGTTTTAATAGTTGTCCTCTTTGGTCTAGTGAAAAATGTTTATATGTTGAAAAATTATCTTGGTACCGCAAAGGTGTCAGAAGTCTTAACTTTTATCTTAGGTGACAGTGGAAAAGAGAAGCTGATTCCTTTAATTCAAGGTCCCTCTGACACCAGAGACTTGCACAGCAGTAAATGGCTCAATGAGAGTAGAAAGCCAGAGTCCCTCCTAGCTCCAGATTTGGTAGTCTTTACAATCCAAATTCCACAGTGTATGGACTACTGCCACAATTCGGGTAAGTGCAAAACTCTTGTTAAGCTGGTATCACATTACATTTTCCTATCCAATGTAGTTTTCAAAAGAGTGGCTTGATGTAAAATGTGCCAAATGCCAAAGTATTTTTCACATACTGCACACTTTATAACTTTAGCTCACTATGAGACACAAAACCAAAAAACAGTGTTTCTGATATATGTCCTCTTTAAGAAATGTGCGTTAGCTTTGGTTGATTGCTTTTAAATAAGTTATACAAAATCTTTTGTAAACATACTCTTTTTTTTTGCAAAGGCCATGTTGAAAATACTAGTTCTAATCTTTTTTTCTTTTTTTTTTCTGTCTACTGAGTTGGTCTTATACAGAAGTTGACAGGCTGGATTCAAAATGATTTTCATGAATTTGAAGCATAATTTATGATTCAATTAAGAATTGGTTTATCTGCATAAAAAAGATGTTTTTTAAAATGTTTCAGAGCACACTTTCAACTTCATCTACCTTGTGGTATTTTTAAATGGGAAGCAAGTTAATTACAAGCTCTTGCTTGGATAAGTTTAAGGATGTGGTTGACTGTGGGCATGAGTACTCTTACATTACTCTGTTTCAAGGAATATTTTTGATTTGAAATCTATCTAGTTGAAAATGATTATAGTAGTTTGTGAAATACAGATGGATCTAGGTTTTTTTGTCAGTATATTGCATTTTAAGAATTATGTTTTCATCTTTTAAATTGTTTCTGCTTTTGCTGTGCTGAGGTTGGAATCAAAAAGTAGGAGAAAGAAATCAATGAGCACCTAATCAAATGGAAGCAAAAGAATTAGGTGCCCTCAGTATTATGAAACACACACACATTCCTGAAAAAGATGATTTTTCTCTCTGATTTCTTTCATGTGTAGTGGTCTATGAATGTTACCAGCTTGAAAAGTAACACTATGTTACCATCTTTCTATATTTATGTGCATATGTAAGCAGTATTTCCTTCTTATATAAAGTAATATTAGTAAGCACTTTGCAGTCTTGTACCTTGGTGTGACTCTTACAGGAGCATCCCTGCCCCTAAAACATTGGCTAAGAGCAATTCATGATTCAAAAGACGCTCCTAATTATTCGGATTAAAAAAAAAAAAAAAAAAAAACAGCTGTTGCACCTGTTGCCTTGCTTAAATAGCTTCTAAATGTCCATAATACTAATATATTAATAGTATTTATTATTATTACTGATTTTAGCTTCTACCTTTTCCTGGAGGTTCTTGTTGATGCTGGTTACAGTGATCACATACATTCGGGCTCAGCAGTATTATGGATAGCTCATTTACATAGCGATATATACCTGATAGATTTGTGATAGAGGATGTTTAAGAGAAGTAAGAAGGCAGTAAATCAAGTGAAGGACCAACTTACTGTTCATAATGCCGCAGTAGTTGGGGCATAAGTACTTTGTGGTGCTTATTTTGTACATGAATGGAGATGCATGTAAAATGCCAGAATTTTAAATTTTAAAAAGCTCCCCAAGTGCCACCAGGCCTTATATTGAATGGATACCAGCCTGCTTGGAGCCCCAGGTCTGCAGGGCAGCACTTAGGAGCGAGTGCAATGAGAGGAGAAGCTGAACGATATGTTAGAGCTTAGTTCCCGTAAATGTGGAGAGTAGTGTGCTGGAAATGAGCTTTTAAAAAATTTCAACTATGAGAAGTTAGGAATGCTGAAATTATCTCAGAATCCATACAAAGGAAGTGGGAGTTTAGTTAAAGCCTTGCTTTTCCAAATACTTGCTGGAGGAACTGGGGCAATTCAATACAGGAGATATGGATATCCTCTTATAAAGACTATGGAGAGAAAACATGAAGTGATATGAGAGCATAAAAATGCTTTTGCTGTCAGTTGCAGTCCCTTCTGGGAATTAGGAAAGCTACGCTGGATAATTTAACAGCAAATTCAAGTTACACCATGTGGGAATTAAAGGGTTGTTAAAAGTTGTACTACTGGAGATGACTTTGCGGTATGAACTTGAGGTATTTGGAGACGCTTGTCCTAATAACTGTGGATGAGATGTTCAGGAATAGAAATTGAGAATACAGAGAAGTGGAGGGAGAAGAATGCAGCCTGCTTGTAGAAAGAATGGAGAAAAAGCTATACAATGAAAGAAGCAAAGCATCGTCCAGATTTGCTGTGTATTAGCAAATTGCTAGAGGTTGGGGCAGGACGGGCCAGCCTTGCTGACTCTACAAGGTGCACACAGAGCATCCCCGTAGCTGAAGCTGTGAGAGCAACGTGCTGTTTCTCCAGGGGCTGAGAGGAACAGCAGTGTCCCGGGCTAGGGTTGAGTCGGTATCATCCAGCGCAGGTGAACTCAGCTTGCTTCTCCCCATGCATGGGGAGGCAGAAAGTTTAGCAAACTCGATGTCAGCAAAGCGGGTGGTCACGCGACAGACGGGTTTCCTTTGGAGCTACACCCTGCACACCCATGAAGTTGAATGGAAAACTGCAGAACCTGAAACCAACGCACTACCTTGGGCATAAGGAGGTTGTGGCAGTGATAGGTGTTTCCTAAGTAGATGAGGGGGCATTGCCTGGAGGGGAGATGTTTCGGGGCCTTTCCTCCACCTCCCGCAGTTGCACCTTGTTCCCCTGAGCCAGCAGGGCCGGCATCGCTCTGCGCTCAGCTGCACCGGCCCCGCAGCACTATGGGTCTATTTACAGGCTGTGTGATGGAGGCAGCATTTCATTTCAATTCACTTGTCAATTTTTTTTTTCTTTTTCTACTCGTTGATAGCAAGAGGAAGAGGAAATCTTGATGATTTTGGTAGTAACATACTGCATAACCTTCAGTAACCTTCCAGGAGAAATCTAGCTCTTTATAAAACGTTATTCCAAGAAGGGTAACCTATAGAAAGTGCATGCGCGGGTGATTAGCAAGGCCATTTTCATGTGTAGTGCACAAAGTATGTTATTAGCACAGTAGAAAACCTATAAGCCTATGGCAGAGGAAGACTTTGAGGGTTCAGGAAATAAATATGCTTTTCTTTAGGCCTTAAACATAAATCCACATGTTAGTGCTTTTAGTCCCGGGTACATTAGTTTGGTGTATGAAAATCTGCTGCGGGGAGTCTTTGTGTAAGTGTAAAGATCAGTGGAGGTGCTCACCAGTCACTAGGTGAACTGCAGTGCACACGATACAGGGGAGAGAGGAGATTATTTCAGTACCCTGGGGCTTGGGAAGGTCTTCCTAGTGCTTCTCTGAACTAACCCTGGATTTATGAACCCTCAGAGCAAGCTGCAGCCCTTGTTTGCTTCACCTGGCCTTTGAGAGAAGGAGGGAGATTGGGAAATGAATGGGGGCGTTAGGATTTAATTACGAGCAGCTGTTTCCTCGATGAGGTGAGCTGATTGAGCTCTGTTTGGTTTGCCATATCGAGTAATTGGCCGTGCTCGCACAGCCGTGCTCCAGGAGCTTTCCTATGTGTAAATCAAGAGGAAACAAACTCAAAAACGCTATCAGTAAGCACCTCACTTCAAGCCCAACTTAGATATTTAGCAATGCTGCAGGGGAGCGGAGGAGCAAACAAAAATACCTGTATTAAACTCATGCTCCTGTAGGGTACGTTGGCACAGCTGGTGGAGCAAGGAGAGGGAGAGCAGCCTTCTCTGGGCCGTGTGAGCGCCGTGTGACCAGGGAAGGGCAAATATTCAACCTTGTAGAATTTGGAAATTTCTAATTCAAGTTATAATCTTCTTAAGTCCCAATTTTTATTTTTGATTTTTTCCACTTACAGTGTTTTCCAAGTATGGAAATGCTTTATCCTGTTCTTCCCTTACAAATAAAGAAAAATAAGATATTTGTGAAATGAAAAATATTTTTAAAATGCTGCAGAGCAGCATTTTCCCTTCCAATAAACGGAAATAAAGTTTTAAATATGTGTACCCGAAGCGGTTTTGTTTTTTTTCCCTTTATGTAACAGCTGATTTTATTTTGTAAAACTAACTCAAAATGAGGTGCCAGATTTAGATGTGTTTGTTTGTGTGCATATGCACCTATATATGCTCCTCTATCCCCCTTTCTAGCAGTTAAATTCAGCCCAGTGACATCTTTTTAAATTATTTTTGACTGCCCAGTTTGGGGATATTGCGAAGTTTGGCTTTTAAAGTCAGAACAATGACATTTTATAAGTTTTCAGTTCTAACGTAAATGATGAATGCCTGCGCTAGTAACTAAAAAAAATACTCGTAAAAGATAGTTCATAAACTATTTTGAAACATTTTGGAAGTACTTGACACAGTGAATGAGTAAAAATGCTTAATATACTGTAGCAATTAAAGACAATTTGCATTTGTGGTTTGGGCATAAATGTGTAAAAATTATAACCATCTATCTTATTACATTTCCTTTTCTTTCCCTGAGGATTTCACTATGTACTTTATCTGTAATTGTTGCCAGTTTTCTATCAATTTCCCACTGGGCTTCTGGTGCAAAAAATCTTATCCTCCCGATGACAGAGCTTGCCTGAATGATTTCATGCTCTTAGCATTTTTGTTCACGGGAATTAGGGGCAGAATGTAACTGCAGCTGAACATAGCATCTATTTTTGTAATTTTGAAGTTTAGACTCTGTTATTGGAACTAAATGAAGAGATGCAGGTGTTCTGCAGTTCAAGTCCTTGGGGATTTTTTGATGGTAGATGCTTGAAAAGAAAATGCATGTGTTTCCAGAGTCAAACAGCAGCTGTGGACAAGGATTTATGTTTTTCTCAGAACTTTGGGATTTCAAAATGTTACATTTAATCACATGCACAGAGAGGAGAGCAAATGTTAAAGATGTTACATATAAAACTGGGGGACTGATCTTTTTACCATACCAACTAGTTGTGGGAATAGAGGAACAAAGTGATCTTTAATCTTAATATGAACAATTTCAAAAGGATTATGATAGTTGCCAGGACTCTGGTCTTTTGAGAACTTGCAGCACACAACATTTATAGCCTCTTAATTACTTTTAAAATCTAGCATACTCTCAGATTTTGCCTTGGAAAAATCTGAATGCTAATAGTATAAGTTGCTGAAAACACTATTCATAGAGTTATGTGAGCATAAGGTTGATTTTAATTGAAATAATTGCACATTTTTAGAAGAATTTTGTTCGTTGTGTGCTGTGGTTTTCAGAATTGGATTAAAAACCTGCCTGAACTCAGAGGCTAAACTTAAAAGTTTTCAAGTTGCCAGACTCGTGGGCAGGAATACTTTGTGGTAGTGCAATTTCAACATCTCTCTCAATTTTGGGATTAGTTGGTCATCGTAAATAAAATATCTGGCACCTTGGTGATAAGGAATGACATTATGCTTCCTTTTTTTAAAAAAGTGAAGGAAGACTTTGCTTTGCCACTGAATATGATTTTAAGAGCTGGAGTTAAAATTGTTCATTTTAAGCTAAGATGGGCTTCATATATAAAGGCTTGTGTTCAATGGTGAGGTGGTGCTGACAGAAAAGGGGCCGGTTTCTTGCTTACGGATCAGTTTCTCCTTTCACAGCTTCTTCACCGAAGGCCCAATACTACTTGTGGGGAAAGGTCTGCGCCCATGGAAATGGATACAGTGTGCCCAACATTTTAGTTTTATCCCAAGTTCAAGTTGGGGCAGCAGGTGGTGGTGCTGAGTGGTCAGGATGGGAGGAAGGAGTGGGGAAGAGCAGGTTGGTAC